ACACCACAAACTTGGTTGGATGGTAGGTGAGGCAAAAAAAAAAAAGTTTAAAGCTATTACTTAAACTGGACAGTGATTTCAAACTTGACCGGCAAATTGGTGCCGTTGTTAAATCCAGCTTCTTTCACCTTAGACCGCTGGCCAAAGTAAAACCTCTCCTCTCTCATGAACACTTTGAGACAGTAATTCATGCCTTTGTCACATCCCGGCTCGACTACTGCAATTCCCTTTACTTTGGAGTCAGCCAGTCCTCCATTAAGCGTCTCCAGCTGGTCCAGAATGCCGCTGCTCGCCTCTTGACTGGTACTCGTAAGAGGGAGCACATAACTCCTACTCTGGCATCCCTTCACTGGCTCCCCATACATTTTAGAGATATTTTCAAGATCCTCTTATTTGTTTTCAAATCTCTAAATGACCTCGCGCCACCTTACCTTTCTGAGCTCATCCGCCCCTACACACCTGCCCGGCACCTCAGGTCTGCGGACCAGACATTATTAGAAGTACCAAGAACGAAACGGAGGCTCAGAGGGGATCGAGCCTTTTCTGTTGCTGGTCCCTCTCTCTAGAATGACCTCCCACTGAACATTCGGCAAGCCTCCTCGCTGCCCATCTTCAAAACCCGCCTCAAAACTCACTTGTATTCTGTGGCATTTGACTCAGCATGACTTAGATTTGTTCTTGGTTTTGCTGTTCGGTGCTTTCTACCGTCTTTATTACCGATTTGCTTTACTGTTTGTTGTATATGTTGAATTGCTCCATGTACAGCACTTTGTATGCAGCGATGGCTGTTTGAAAGTGCTCTATAAATACAGTTGAGTTGAGTTGAGTTGAGAAGATTTTCAAACAACTACTTACACTAGTGCTACGTTAGCTGTTGTTGTTTGCAGTCTGAGTTGTGGTGAGATCTTATGTCCGGGGTCAGCAACCCTTTTGAAACTCAGAGTTACTTCTTGGCAACTGATTAGTGTGAAGGACTACACGTTTCAAACACACTTCTGAAGTAACATCTTTTGTCAAATTAAATTTAATCATACACTAGTAATCAGTATTGATATTAATTGATATGAAGACATTGAACATATTAGTGATTTGTTACAATCATTAGGAAACGGATAAATATTCAATATGCCACACTTTGTGTGAATAAATCTTTGCCACTGTTTACATTTTCAGATGATCGCTTTAACAACATGTAGTCCTAGAAAATCATGATGTCCATACACAGGCGACCTATTTCTAAAACAGGACCACGGGTGACTCATGGTCCTCGGGGACTACCTGCTCCCCGCAGGCACCATGCTGGTGACCCCTGTCTTCGGTGTCTATTGTCTGTTCACTTTGGGATATGTGGGGAATGTGTCCTGAAATCTGTGTTGGCTGTCGTACTGTTCACAGGATGCTTCCTGTTGGGCTAGCAATTTGCGGGCATCTTTTTATACACTATCTAGGGCGAGTAGGTACGTGGCATCAAAGAAAAGAGATGCAGATAAAGTTTAGATCTGCCCTCTGTGGACATTACCGTGCTATGTGATCATTAAAGTCGTTTGACTCGAGAAACGCTATTTTTAAATAAATTCTATTTCCCATGCGTCTCCATTAAAAGTCATTTGGCGTGAATACATGTGGGATGAAGAATTGCAGCACACTTAATATCTACACGTAACATGTTACATTCTGCTTCAAATCAAGCCATTTGGGGGCATAGCCCTGTTTCAGAGTCTAGCTTTCATTACCCAAACAAGACCTGCCAAGGGCTGCCGACTTCAGCCATCATCATCATCATCATTTAATTTCTTTTCAGATCTCCTCTTCCTACTGAAAAAGCCAAGATGCTCACCCCACAGCATCCAGACTGCAAAAGAATGCCGCTTGTGCAATGTCGCCACTTGTCATTTAGTGTAGCTGTGTCGTGCATGACATCGCTTTACACAAATCCCCCTCTCCCAAACACACACACACACACACACACACACACACACACACACACACACACACACCTCTGCGTCATCGACTTAGTAGAACCTTTGAGTACTGTATTTGCTGGTAAGCAGTATGCCAGTAACACTGTTAGCTAACTGTGTGTCGTTGGCAGCTCTGATTACCTTTTGGCTTTTAGCATGACAAGGCTTCCAGCCGTCACGCGACAATGGTAAATCTGTGAACTGAGCTTCACTATCATGAGCAAGGAAGCTCAATGTGGTGGTGGTAATTATGTAAATTCACAGAGAATGGATTGTTGAATAGCTCACTTAGAGACACATTTTCAAAAATGGGCCGATGGGTGGTCAGGCACTCGAGAGACTCAAATATTTACGTACAAACAAAAAGTAAAATTTCCATCTGCCCTCCTCAATATTAATGACAAATTTAATGACTCTTAGTTATGAATTAAAGAAAATATATTGTTTTGAAAATCCACAGAAGGAGGTTGCCTCCTGGCTTATGATGACACAAAAATGCCGGTCAATAGTGTTGTACTTGCTTTTAGAGTAATAACATACCGTAACAGATAATGAAAATGTAATGTAACCCTTGTGCTGCAATTTCTACGATGTTTGTAACACATGGGTTACCCCATATGTTACAATTTCTACAATTTTTGTAGATTTTTGCGTATTGTCATCTTTAAATCAAAGACACAGCATAAAAAGTGTGTGATATGAAATATTTCAATTCATGTTTTATTTATATAGATTTATATTTATGTTTTGGTCATAGCACAATACCGCTTTTATTGTCCATAGAGGGCAAAAATACAAAGAAAAAAATAAGAACTACATGTGTATGTACAGCACTGATGCCACTGAACATGTCGAGTGGTTGAAAGTGAAATAAATATTCAGGAATAATACTTTTACAATTTTTGTAAAATTGTATGTTGCGTTATATAAACTTATTTAGATCGACTGCAGCACATGGTTAATAATGGGTGTGTCATGATTTCGTTTGTGACCAACAGGTGGAACTGTAGGGCTCCCCCTGCAGCTGTTGGTCGTTATGTTATTAGTAGTATAAAAGGACTCCCTTCCGATGGGTCATTGTTTTTTTTGCTTGTTTGCTTGTCCTGTCATGTTTGTTTCTGTCATGGTTCTGTTCTAGTTTTTTGCTTCAGTCATGGTTTTGGTTTGATACTTTGGACTTTGTTTTGTTTAAGATTTCGTTTTCTTTGTGTTTCAATACAACTCGTCAAGTACACCCTGCTCCTCCCTCTTGCCTGCTTTTTGGGGTCCACCACCACATCGCAAACGTGACAGGGTGAAATACAATGCCTCCAATCAGATCAGATAAACATTTTTGAAACGAATGAAAAGAATGTATGTTAATAAAAGGTTTTCTTACTCTATAATTATCTTTGCTGCCAATACCAGTGCTTTAAAAATGGTCATTTAAAAGCAATGGAAAAAAAACCAAACGGCATGTACTTGTCTCAACTGGTCCGTGACACAAAAAAGGTTGGGGACCACTGCCCTCTGTCACGTAATTCGCAGCCACTATATTCTCCGCCATCATCTGCACTTCATTTGGACCAACAAGTGTGTTCTAGTGCACTTTCCCCAAGTGCCTGTACTCTCGACCCGTCGTGTTTCTTGTGCTCCCCAACATCTATCACGGCAAGCTGTGCTGACTCCTCAGCAGCTGCAGGCCCCAGTCCCTGTTCCTGTTCCTGTGGCACGTGCCCTGTGGTCACTCTCTGCTTCTACCGGACTGGCACCGCCAGGAACCTCTCGCCTGGCCTCCAGATCCCACCTCCAGGCCCCCTTCAACCCACCTTGCTTATTTTGGGATATCTGGGATCTGTCCCTTAGTGGTAGGGTACCGACATGGTCTGTCTTTGATCTTTTGGTTGTCAATTTAGAAATCAGCTTCATATTTTCCTTGTGTTCCTTTGTCTGCCTGCCTCGATCATTAAGGTATTGGTACAGCTGTTCCCATTTATGCGATCCCTTGTGTTACTCGATCAGCTCCCTCCAAGCCTTTGTGTCTTGTCCAGGTGTTCCTCGTCAGTTTGTTTATCTTTCGTTCCCTGTTTGCTTTCGGTCCTTGTCGGTTCGTCATCCCTGTAATGTCTTGTTGAATCCATTGCCCATTTGGGTTTGTGACTTAGAATCTTCCCTTTTAGCCTTGTGTTAATTTAGTATTTGTAATTATGTATGCCTTGTTTGCCTATTTGTTGTATTTTTGGAGACTAAATATGTTATTTGAATCCATCCTGCTTCCTTGCACTTAGGTCCTCAACCATGCTGCGACACGACACTTTTATTTTTAGACGTCAACTGGGAATGGCAATAAACAGCTTGAAGGAAGCACGTGGCCTCTGTTTGAAGAATTGTTCACGATTTGCTGCTTGTTATGAAGTTCACCAAAGCCATTTAGTCACAAGTAATAACCAAAAAATCGACAGCTATAAAAACTCTTGAGTTGCATCCCTTGTAAATTAAGGTACCACTAGACATATCATTCTCGTTTATGTTGGTGTTGTTGCCATTATTTTTCCTCTTTGCCATCACGGGTACCGTTTCTGTGAGGGTATCACAAGAAAGGATTTTGACTAGTGTTAATTCTTTTGATGCTTACTGAGGTAAGTCTTGTGTGATCTCATGCACAACAGTCATTCTTTTTTTTCTTCTACCTGGCAACTCACATTTCTTTTTATTCCTATGAAACATTACACTTTTATGAGCTGAAGCCAACCTCTTTGCTCCGTGTCCAACCACAAGCTTGCTTTATGTCTCATGAAACGCAGTTACAGATCAAAATGAACGTTTTGATCGTTTATGCTCTGACAAAGTGGGAAAAACCCCTCAATAATTAATGTTATACAATTACTCAATATCAATGTCCTGAGTGATTTTTTTTTCTATCATGTTTTTGGGAATTAATTTCTAAACGCAGCATTTGAATGACTCAAACTGAAATCCAAGCGTTGTTCCCATTTGCGCATTAACACAATATGCCACATTAATGTAGCCCTGGCAGGCAAATCAAACAAGACACAGAACAAAGCTACAACCGGCCTGGGGGAGTACATTTCTGCAGTGTATGGTAATGGATGAAAAGCTCAATGATGCTGTTTCAGGAGACCCTCATAAAGCAACAGCTCCTGTTTATTACAAAGAGTGTGCAAATCTCTTGTGCTGTTTGTGTGCTTTCTGGGTCATTCTTGCTCATAAAAAAAAAAAAAAAAAAAGAAACAACGCAGGGTGCTGAAACACAACAAAAAGAAGCGAGATGCTTTCGCCCCCACCTGATTTCAGCTCTTCTGCTGTCATCCAGAGGAGCAACGTGTGCTATCTCGCCAACGCCTCAGATGTGTGCCATGGGTTGCTGGCAGTAGCGGGAGAACATCAGATAGTCGTTATTGGAAAGGGGCTCTTATTTACTGTTTATTTTGAGCTCATTGAGGCAGGTGAAAGTATTGGCTCCCATGTTGGAGGGATGATCACAGGAGGAAAACAAACCTGTTAAGACGTACTCTGTATATGTCGAGGAAAAAAAAAAAGCTTTTATGGCTCTGCTTGTGCTTTCCTCGAATGTTTTTCAGGAGATATGTTCTCCTTTCCCTTCTTTGTCTGTCTGCAAGTCACCAGAAAGTCTGCGAGGCTCACGATTAACAGGATTTTCACCGCGTTAACAGCAAAAACACCACAGACACACAAACAATGACTGTATGTCACATAGAAAACACACAGCGGCATGAAATATGTTTGTGTGTCATTTGAATTTTGTACTTCTGTATGTTTGTACGTATGTATATTGGCAGGAAAAGGGATCCCAGATCTGAAGTTTGGGCTTCAAATTTGACATGCTTGCTTGCTGGGTTTTCTCCAGGTACTCCGGCTTGCTCCCACACTCCATAACAATACATGTTAAGATTCATTGAACAAACTATATTGTCCATAGGCGTGAGCGTGAATGCTTGTTTGTCCAAATATACCCATCGAGTGAGTGAGGACCAGACAGAATGGACCCTGCCATCCTAAGATTTTTGAGTCAAGGTGTAATACACTTTTGATACACATTCTCCCATCGATTCATGCGTTTTACAGCCTGCATCACCACACATTTTAACTCACTTCCAGAAAGCTACCAATGTGTTTGTTTATAATTATTTATATATAATTTATTAATTTTTTTTTTTAAGTGAGCTGATCAAAACGGTGCTTTACCGTCCGTGTTTTAGCTGTGATATCTATTGCCGAAGAATATCGGCACCACTGGGGTTTTTTTTCCAGTTTCAGCTGCGAAGAGTAATTCCACTTCAAACCCGCTGCGCAGCAGTAGACATTCAAAGACAAGCCTCTGGAGTTTTTGAAAAAGCAGGTATCCCACTATTACCACTACAGTCATAGTAATGGAGTAGTGGTGAGTTCGATATCTAACCATTTGTTTGTATTTTATTTTCAGCTGGCCGTCATGTGACTCACACAGTCTGTGGTGCAAGGATGGGAGCAGCAGGTTTTCCCGTTACATGCAAACGGGAGACAATAGCTCTGAGGCAGGGGTGTCCAAAAGTCGGTCCTCAAGGGCTGCTGTCCTGCCTGTTTTCCAGCTCGCCCAGGAGCAACACACCTGATTCAAATAATCAGGATCATTCTAATGCTGCTTCAGAGCTGGCTGATGATCTGATCATCTGAATCAGGTGTGTTGCAGCTGGGAGAGATGGAGGCAGGACAGTGGCCCTCCAGGCCCAGAACTAGACGTGCCTGCTGCTCTAAAAGAACTAACTTTTTCCCTTTCTCAAAACTATCTTTGTTTGACTTGTCAGCCAATATGACTAATTTCAACCTAATCACAAAACATGTATCTTTCGATGCCTAAACTGCCTCTTGGTTAATTATATATATCTGACAATACAGGGGTATAAAGTCTGAATAACAAATGAAAACATATTTATCAGTTGGATTAAGGGTGGGGCAAATTGGTCATGTAAGCAACTCTCAATATTTATAATATCTTAATGTAATAATTGAGAATTAAAATTTTGCTGACGAGAATGGGCACAACATAACAGGGGTGTGTAGCATTTTCATTAAGTCCCAAAATGTTCGACCACAGAAAAGGGCTGCAAATCTTAAGCAATAAATGTTCCCACTGCACAGGTTATTTTCTTGTGTTTATCTTAAGTAGGACCGAAAGAATGTTCAAAAGTGTTCCCAATAAAAGCTGATTGATATCTGCCTGACATCTACATACCCATGATAGTCAACATTAAAATTTGGAGAAAATTTTAACCCAAGACTTACATATACAGACTCAATAAAAGAGGTCTAAGAACTGACCCTTGCAGCACCCCATAAGTCAGGGGTGCCCAACCTTTTTTGTCCCAAGGGGTAAATTACTTTTCAAGGAGCCAACCTCCGGAGATCTACCAGTCCAGTGTCAACATCTGACCCCCCCGCCAGTCCCAGGGCCAAGCCATTTGGCTTTCCTACATAGAACCAAATATGAACCAAACAGAAAAAAAAAAGCTACAAAACAGGTACAGTCAAACCTTGGTTTTCGACCATAATCAGTTCCAGAAAGCTGTTCGAAAACCGAAACCATGTTTCCCAATCGTTTTGCACACTATTTTCCTCTTTTTTCACCAGCTTTACATCCACTTGCTTTCTTTGGTGCCATGCAGAAATAACAGTCCAATTTGCGTAGATCTCAACAAATATGTCTGCTTTTTTTTAATTTTTTTTTATTGAACACATCTGCTCACAATGGACGCACAATGGATGCTCTTTTTTTTTTAATCTTTGAACACGTCTGCTCACAATGTGGAGGCATCACTTCTTCGTCTACACGAGGAAGCGTCACTTCCTCGTGTAAGGAAGTCGAGAGGAATCGAGTGGCGCATTCAAGTGCGCTCAGTTTGGTCGAGAACCGATTTTTGGTTGTAATCCGAGGCATAAAAAAACCCAAAATTTTTGGTAGAAAACCGATTTGGACGAGAACAGAGACGTTCGAAAACCGAGGTTTGACTATAGATCTCTGTTTGAAAAAAGGAAATCACTTCCTACCTCAGTGGGCTGGCTTTGATCCCAGTGCCATTTTGCAATCTCAGAATCTCATCCTCAAGAGTGGGGCTTTCAAAGATGAAAAGTGATTTGACTTGAAAAGTGGCGGCAATGTCACCAACGTCAATATTTGCACCAAATGGATAACACATATAGCTGATGCAAAGTCAGTAAAACGCCTTTCAAACTCTGACGAGATGCTCTGAACATGCTCCTCATAATGTACAGTGTAAAGCTGGGTCACACCTTTCCCTTGACGTAGTTCTGCTTGCATGTGAGGGAAGTTGCACAGGTTACCAAGCCGCAGCCGGTTGGACATCAGCTTTGGCTTGTTTTTAAATGTGCTCACTGAACTAATCATGTTGACTACGTCTTTACCCTTACCCTGCAGAACTAAATTCAATTCATTGAGCTGGCCAGTGAGATCAGTGAGGAAAGGTAAATCTAAAAGCCACTGTTTTGTCCCGCTAACAAATCCCATGAAAACATCAAAAATATCCTCACCCCTGGTATGTACTTTTAATGGCAAAATGGTGAGCAGCTCTTCATTGGTACTTCATTGGTGGAAAATGGTAGTTCTTGGATCGTTTCCTCTCAGCCAGGGGTGGCCAACCAAGTCAAAGACAAAGAGCCATTTCTTTTACGAAGTT